AACAGTAGTCTGCACTTAGATGTGCAGAATAACCCTAATCCTTTGTACCAGTTTGAATTTGGGTTGTTTGAACATGACCCAACAGGACCCCTGCTCTTGAAAGGGACAAGGTTGTTCAAAAAGATGATCAAAAGACTAATCTAAACCCAAACTGTTCAGGCATGACTGCAACATCCTGGTGAAGCTGATCTCTAATGCTTGCTTTTTTTGTTCCTTTGTATAATGGCTATATCCCTCTCAGGCACGCTATACATGTGTGTGTATATATATGTATATATATGCAAAGGTCTAGTAGTTCTTTGTAAAATAAGCATCCTAGCATTTTTATATTGAGATTGCCACACATAGTTGACCAATAAATAGTAACCCTTTCTTACATAGAGTAAAAAGCAAGTAAAATGTGAAAGTGAAAGCGATGCATGAGAACTGAATCATCTAAACAGCTATCCATCAATTACCTTTGCAAATGGAAGAACTCCAATCTCATATTTTTGATTCTAAGAAATGGGGACTCTACTGACGCAAAGTCTAGAGGTCAGCTGCTATGAATGGCAAGGGCAACCCTCATCCTAGTAATGAAATAACAATAGCAGGAATGTTCAGAATGTCCCCAGAGAGCACTGACCCATCTCTGTTTTTAGCAAAGGATGTATTTTAAGCAGCAGGGGCAGGTAGAATAAGGAAAGGGTAGATATGATTTATTACTGAAAAATGTTTGTTTGCAAGAACATATACTGTTTTTGCACAACACTGTAGCGATGTCACTAAAGCTGGAGTAGCTGTTTCAGGTTGCTTTCAGATTTCAGAAAGCAACACTGTTGCTTTCTGTTACTGCACCATTGTCTAGACTCAACAGGGTGAAAGGGCGAAGGCACCTGCAGGGAGCCTGTAGGTTCAAATAATTTACGACTATGTTGTCTTTTGTTTCATGTAGTGTGATTTAATCATGTCCTACATTACATGTCACATTAAAAATGTGTGCGTGAGCCCTTGCAGAGTTACAGGGCGAGACAGAGTGTGGGAGAGTTGCTTCTGTCTTTGTGTGTGTCTCTGGGGCGCTGGGAGAAAGATCACTGTTTGGTCTGAATCATCTCAATGTAGTCTGCCTCTTATTGTGGGCTGGAGTTTTAATTGTCTTGGGAGATCTTGATATATTATTAAGTTACATATCCAAGAATCTTGGAATATGTATGTTTAAGATACAGTGTGTGCAGACATCTATATTAAAATAAGATTAAAATAAACCTAATTTCAGGGTTTAAAACAAAAAAAATGTCCCAGTTGATAACATATAAACATTGTCCTTGGTTTGAGTCTAGGTTGCTAGTCAGGTAGAGGGCTAACACAGAGAAACAGACAACATGTAAGGAGAATAGTTAGTAAGTATTTAGACTAAAATTTGTAGACTGAAGGAAATTCCCAGGAATTCCCCAGGTCTAAGGAATTCATTGTTTCTAAGATCGGCCAATAAATGACAGAGTCAGTCTTTAGATCTTTTTACACGAGTCTGTTGTTAAGTCACATTACTTTCATCTGTTATATGGCATATGAGAAAATCAGCAATGCTCACTACTCTTTGAACAGTATTTTCCTACCATCCCAACAACAGGTGGCATTACCAAGAGTTCATTTTGCCATCTTCCATGAGGAATGAGATTCCGCAGCAGTGTGTCTCAAACAGCAGAGAGCCTCGCAGACCATGACGTAATGGCCTAAAACGTGCAATCAGTTAGAAACAGGGCCAAAACACGTGGAGTTGGCTCGTCTCTCCGCTCACCCCCAGGGCCCCTCTCTATTCTCCTTTTCCTCGCCTCTCTCTCCCTCACCCCACCGCCCTTCTGCTCCAGCGCACTCTCTGTTTATGAGTGCATGAATCGCTTCATTTCACTATAGCCAACTCCCAGCCCACTACCAAACCCACAACTGCTTCAATAATAGAAGCCC